ACTTCAAACGTGTCATTTAGGGTCGAATCCAAGTAGTCTCACTACATCTTTGGAATGTTTCTTGCTGTCTATTAGCAGTTTTTGACAGCCATCAGTGTATTTATATTTCTTGCCGTCGATACTTACTCGATTGCCACCATCCTGCGCTGTCCTGCTCACCCTTCTTATGTCTCCTCTTCTTCCTCTTTCTCATCTGCAGGTTCGAGTATTTGTTCAATTTTGACAGCATGTTTGAGATCCACGATGACATCGAGGTGCTGAAGCGTATGGGCATGGCCTGTGGTTTGGAGGTGGGGAAGTGTTCTCCAGAGGATCTGAAGGTGGCACGTAGCCTGGTGCCCAAAGCTCTGGAGCCCTACGTTATAGGTCAGTGCCCCAGTCCCCAGAGTATGACGCGCTCACTTGTTGAGTTGGTAGGCTTTTGCTGTGCCTCCCCCTTTTTTGTGTGGATAACTACTTAAATCATCCCCACAGTAGGCACAGCAAGTGTCTAAATACAGTACATGGAAGTATGACATATGAGGAGTAAATGCTAATCTTGACTCTCACCCAGTCTATTGAATTCTTAATACAATACAGGTGCTAATCTCATCCACTACAAAATGACAGGGTTTCAATGTGCTATTAATTACATATATCAGAGTATGATGATGCAGTGACATTATCTTTAAGGAAAGCACTTCCTGTTTTCATTTCATTTATTCAAACAAACAAAACTTTGCCACCATTTCATTAACTGTCTCTGACTGGCTCGCATAACACTGACGGCTCTGCACAGTCGGTACAACAGTCCATCAGCTGACTGTTGTACCGACTGTGCAGAGTCGTCAGTGTTATACGATCTTTTTGTAAGTGAAAGTGAAAATCCAGTGCGAAATCCAGTGCGATTTTTGAAAGTGAAAGTCCTCCCGTGTTCATTTTGCAAGGCATTGTTGGATTCCACTTTTAGTTCTGGACGAGTTTTTTACAACAAACCGAGAGGAATAGAAATTAAGTTATAAAGACTGACTGGTATTAACTGATTTATAAGCATTATTAGTTTTGTTAAGCTGCGAATTGACCGTGTGTTATGATGAATAATAGTAGCGATTGCTTCCTGAACATATTTCATAATAGCAGATGGATCTAGTAGTAGTTTAGCTTTTGACATCGTGCTAAAATATCATATCTGCTCTGATAATATCCTCTGAGACCAGGGTTTGATTGACTGTTGTTCTTCCCAGAGATGGCAAAGGGTCCCATCAGTAACGTCTACATCACTGGAGGGTCCTCAGCAAATGGAACCCGTTACCCTGCAAGCAGGTGAGACGTCTTTCCTGTAACTCGACCTATAAAGGTGACGGATCTCTCTCCTTATGAACTTGTAACGAATGATTAAATTCACTCCTCTCGCAGTGACGGCTGCACTGACGGCACCATGGCCTCCAGCTCAAATGACTCTCACTACAGCGGGTCTCGCGTGGAGACCCCAGTGTCTTATATGGGGGATGACGACGACGAGGACGAGTTTGACGAGAACGACGACGAAGATTAAACCCTTCCACGCCTCGCCACTCCCAACAAGCACAGTCCTTCAAAACCACCTTCACCGTGGGAATTTAGTCCCTTTTGTCTGTGCTTCTTCACCCCCCCTCTCGTTTCCCATGCCTGTATTTCTGTCTGGCTTTCTCAGGGGTGTAGATGAATATTGAAAGAACAGAGGTGTACGTTGCAACCATCTTATTTTTTTTTTTTTTTTTTTTTTTTTCTGCTCCTGAATCACGTGCAACTGCAACGCGGCCTTGGGGCAGGTGTCGTCCAAGGGAACTGTAGTCTGTGGCCCAGCCACCACGCTGAAGTCTTTGTATGTTTAATCCACTTCTCAATAAGCCATCCCACTAAAAATAAATAACACAACCTCTGTAAAACCTACTGCTGTTGGAGAATGTATACTGTACATGTTTGAATAGTTATTCCTATTATTTTTGCTATTGCATACGGCAGACATGATGATCAAAATGTTCCGAGATGGCCAACGTGTCTGCTTTAACATGCTGTGTTGATGCAACAATGAATGACTGAATGCAGTCACCGTGGCATCCCAGGATGGGGCTCCATCAGATGTGTTGATACTTTTTTTTTGTTTTGTGTTCCCGGCAATAATTTGAAATAGTTTCTTAACCTCCGTTGTGTTCGGCTGGCTTCCTTCTGTTCTGTAGGCAGCTGCTTTTCCTGATCTTGTTTGCTAGTATTGTTTTTTTTGTATTCTGGAGTTGAGGAGTTCTCTGTCAACGCCTTGGTAGTGTTTACAAAATAATGGCACCAGCAAGGTAAAGACTTTTTTATAACCCAGGATCCTGATAGGTAAATAAGCTTTGTTTGTGAATTACGTATATGAATCCTACGGTGATTGTAGCTTATAGTATCCTTTAGAGGCCAGTGGTAAAGATAGACCTTCAAAAAGTATTGATGTAACGAAATGTGTGGTTGCATAGGTCTTTATGTACTCCCTGCAAAGATCTCCCTTTTAAAACTTAGCAACACATGTACTGACTCTTCCAAAAACCTTTTTCTGTAATCTAATATAAGTTTGCAAATTAAAATATAGATTGTTTTAATAATTTTTGTATCTATAATTATTTTGGCTGTGTTCCTCGAGCGTTTATTCTGTCGGTGAACTGCTTTTAAGACCCTCGACTGATTTGAGACACGTGGTTCTTTTTTTAAAAAGAGCCAATGGATGAAGACCAGTTCCCAGACTTGAGTGTGCTGGTGAAGGGTTTGAGGACAGCCGCAGGAAACATGTTAGACACTCGAGGATAGCTGTGAGGTGAGAACAACTGATTATATTCTCCTTTACTCGCATTATGCTACCGTGGGCTTTTAATGTCAATAAATGGATGTATTTACAAGAGCGCTCGCTGTCTTTAGGACTGTACCCTTTTTTTAAAAAGAAAAAAAAACGAGGTGGCCAAATGTTTTTGACATGGAGAATCGATGAGGGCCAAGATGGAGAACAGGCTGCGTGGAGTGGATCGTTTGAACGTTTTGTTCAGTGTCAGGCACCTGCTCAATAAGTCTGGTCTTAAGGCAGCAGGATGTCAGTGCAGACGGTTAAGCTCTTTTACCCAATAAAATGTGTCTTTTTTTTTTTTTTTTTAAAGGGAAAGCTCACATTTCTTAAAACAGGCAAGCACATGCACATTAAAGGAGTTATTGTTTGCTGTTGTCATTCCTGATCATACTGGACTGCACAGAATCTCTTCCTAAAGCAGTTTCAATGTAAATGATGGGGGACAAAACACACTTTTACTTCTTTGTAAAATTATATCACGTTCAGCTGAAGCTAATGTTACGCTGCATTAGTCTGAGTTGGTCAAAACAAGTGGGTATCCTCAAAATTCCATGTTTTTGCTTTCACAAGCAGTTTCCTTGCTAAGCTGTGGCAGAAGGATACTGACACAAAGCAGTGATTTAATATAAAGATTACACTGGTGGTGTTTTTACCTCGAGTCTGTGTGTGTCGTCGTGGCAAAACGTGGTCCTGGAGTCACCTACTAGATTTTGATCAAAAGGAGTTTGAAGATGGCTGTGGTCCAAGCAAGGGTGCCGGAAGTAGGGAGGGTAGGAAGTTGTGAAAGGGCCTTTGTCTTCCTACTTTACCCTCCTGGCTTGATTTGCCATCTCGGCTGGTGTGATCCAGCATAAGGTGCTCTCTCGCTTAACGCCTTGAAAGTCTTGTATAAGCTTGAGCTGAACTCAACAATAGTTTTACACAGAACTGGGACTGCGTACGTTGTCCCCCATCATTATAACTGAATTTGTTGGACTGGATCTCTTTGTGGCCAGTTCGGGCAGATGGACCAATTGCAACAACCAACTAGAGACCATAATGCGACGGGATCACACCTGCCGTGATTCTACCTCGGGCCAGGGACTTCGGGCCCTCTTGCTCGGACCGCTCCGATCGTCAAACTTAGCCTCCATTTTGATCTCAACTACACATCTGCAAAGTTTCAGGTGCAAAGTAATTGCATCTTGCAAGTTTGTGACGCTATCGCTTTAATAAAATCTGTCCACAGACATATAAACAGCTGTAAAAGTATTCAAAGTACTTTGCAGCAGTTTCCGCTATAGTAGTTTTGAGAATTTGACCTTTTCCTTAATGTAATCGGTTACAGATTACTAGTTAACCTGTTAAAATGTCATTACTAATCTATTTTAATTACTTCATGAAAGTAATATACCTTATTACAATGTGAAGGCCCCTTCCTGTCCTCTTGTCTTCCAACTCGGCCTTCATTTCGATCTCAACTACACACCTGTGTAGTCTTGTGACTGCATCTGGCACGGTTGCGATGCTGTTGACATCTGTCCAAAGACGGACAGACAGAAATATACACAGTACTCTAAACTGCAATGACATACATTTTGCAATGTGATTATGTAATGCTGTTACATGCAACTATTTACTCCCCACCACAATACAGACTCCAGAAACCAACGCTGTAGCGGCCAGTCATGATCCTTTCAATGTACTGTACATGTTGGCATGTCTTTTGACTATTCTAACAATCGATATTTCCTACTTCAGAGTATTTTATTTTAATTATAATTTGTTATAATTTATTTCATTAACACCACCATCTGGTGTATTGGGGGAAAAAAACCCCATTCCAATGTTTTTTGATTGGCTCCGTAAGTTTCCGAGTTAATCACAAACATGATCGCTTTGCATTTAACATCCAGCAACTGCTCAGTTAATCGACATGAATGTCCCACTGCTAATTGTGATTTGCCAGTTGACTGACTGGAGACACTCCAGCTGCATATACAGCCTGTGTTCTGTTCCAGCATGTGCTCGCACACTTTGTCTGGGACATTAGGGTGTTAATGGATTACCGAAAGGTGTTGACTCAGGTGTGTGTGTGTGTGTGTGTGTGTGTGTGTGTGTGTGTGTGTGTGTG